TCTATCTATCTATCTATCTATCTATCTATCTATCTATCTATCTATCTTTAAAAGGGAAGTTTAGAAGATAGCTGGAAAGTTGGGAAAAAAATATGCCAGGGATGGGTGTCACTAAAAGAGAACTCAGGCTGAATTCTTTCTGGGTTTTCCACCCAGAAGTGTTATTTTACTCTCAAGGAACGTTTTCCAAAATCACCCGAAAGAAACCTCACATCCGCCACCTCGGAGTCATCTTCGCACACAACGGTTGTCATCATCTCCTGCAGGGACTTTCACAGAGGACCTGGTGGTCTTGGGAGGAGCACCAACAAAGGGGGAATCTCCGCTTGCCCACTTGAGTATTTCGGGGTGGGGGGTGGGGTGTCAGCTGCTTAGCCCAAATGCCTGGGACACGGCCCCCCACCGAGAGCGCTGACCCTCACAACGACCCTCTTCCCAATCCCAGCCCCACTCTTTGCGCCCATTCAAGCAAGCGTCTCCTGCTCAAGCAAAGGAGCTGGACTAGAAGATCTCCAAGGTCCCTTCCAACTCTGTTATTCTAGGTTCCAAGTTCTGCATCGCTTAGCAAATCAACCTTCCTGTTTTGTTTTTTTTCTTCTTCTTCTGCCACTTCCAAGACCAGGTTCTAACCCCGAAGCAGAGCAGCCCTTTGGTAATTTTGAGGTGGGGTGTTGGGGTCTAATGGAAGGAGGTGCCCTCTCCTGCCCGGACTACAGCTCCCATCTCCCGCAGGAGGAGGCAGTCCCAAGCTCCGCGCGCGCGGGTGCCTAAACCAGAGGGGAAACTGAGGCAGGGAACGGGGTCGCCGGCTGGAGTTTAAAAGGAGAAGGGTTTGGGGACTGGGGGGCGGGGGGGGGGCTCTCTTGCGTCCTACCTTTGCAGAGCCGTGTGGGCATCCAGGACGCCGGTGGTTTGCATCCAAGACCTGACCGCCGAGAGTCCACCTCCTCCGGTCAGGGGCTCTTCTTTCATGGTCAGCCCCCCTCTGGCCAGGCTCTCCTGGATGGAGAACATCAAAACTGCTTTTTAGCGAGCGTCGGGAGGGGTGTGTGTGTGTTTGTATTTGTGTGTGTCTGTGCGCGCGTGTGTGTATGTGTGTGTGTGTGCGCGTGTCGGGTGGGCGCGCGCCTGCCGTCCTCCAACCAAAACAATCCCAGCCCCTAAGCAGGGGCTTGTTGGGGAGGGGGACGCTCGGAAGAAAGTTTTGGGGGTCTTCTGGCTTTCCGGGGCCGGCAGCTCTCCGAGGCTGACGGGAGGACCCCGTGGGGCTGGAGGGGAGGGGGCGGCAGAGGCTGAACGCCGGCCGAGAGCCCCCCACACCCCACCCCAAGCCCAACCTGGGGGCGGAAAGAAAGGGGGCTGCCCTCGAGCCACCACCTGCCCGCCGCCGCCGCTGCTGCTCCCGCCGCCACGAGGTGCCGGGGTGACAATCCGGGCTCGGGGATGCTTTGCTGGCTTGCCGGCGGCGGCGGCGGGGCAGGCAGGCAGGCAGGCGGGCGGGAGGCGAGCTCTGGGTGGGGACGCCTCGGCGGGGG